ACATCTCTCTCATCTTTTTTAACAGAATGCTGCCAGATGATTTGCTCTTGTCTACATCCTGATCCACAGCGGAGACTTGTTCTGGAGGAGATGCAGCTCCATGACTGGTTTATGGTACTAAGATTAGAGTCTAAGATTTGCTAAATTTATTTTATTTTTTTCAAATAATCATCTTAAACATTTAAAAGTCAAGTTTGCTCTAAATGTAATGTATTTAGATAAATAACACTGATTTTAGTTTTAGTTTCAGGTTGTGGAGTAAGATGGAGAACAACGAAAAACAGGCTGACATTAGTGGCCTTTCCATCCCTCCACCTTGAAGCAGCATTATTTATATTTATCATTTGTTTTAGGTATTAGGTATTAAGATATTTGTATTAATATATTTATAGGAATATGTGTAATTTTTGTAAGCATAATATAATAGTATATGTATAATAATAGAATAATAAGAATTTTTTATAAGAAAATGTATTAAGATATTAAGTATTAATAAGATATTTGTATCTGTATTAAGATATTTATGCACTGTTATATATGCTCTGTGTGTTATATTACCAGAGTGACTGTAAATTGGACATCTTTCTTTCTCCTGACAGCTGTAATCAATCTATGTATATTGTTTTCCTATTTTGGAAAGCTGTGGAAACAATAATAATAATTTAAAAAAATAATCAAATAGTTGTCGTTTCCCATTTACCACTATACACTCATCCATGACACAAAAGTTTAGCGTAGTGTGTACACAAATATTAAGAAATGTCAAAATGACATAAAAAATTATGTTCACTTCACACAAAAATACGTCCCATGCTTGACAGATTTGTTTTTTTCAGTTAACTGTACTAAGTAGTCTACTATAGATTTATAAAGAACATTTAGTCTGTAATGTGAATATGTTCAGCAAGGCAACAAATAGCCTACATTGTGCACTTAGCATACATTTTATATAAAATGTATATAATTTTATATAAAGAAATAACAGTATGATAACCAGATCTGCAGTGTTTACCCACACTAGAAAGCGATCAGAGGCGGACAAAGTACTCAACTCCATTACTTGAGTGAAAGTACAGATACTGCCAAAAGTAAATTTCCTTTTTTTATGTCAATGCACTGTTTTATTATTGTACGTAATACTTGCAATACTTCAGAAAAGAAACTTAGAATACATTACACCTGCTGAATACACTGACTAGCTTGTAGTATCTTTGGAATAAAGAGCTTTTAGAATGTTAAAAACCTATGGGGGGGGGGGGATTTAACACCCCTACCGCCCCCCACAAA